CGCGTGAGGTGTCGGGCCGGCGAGGGCTCCTGTGCAGCCGGTGGAGGGGTCTCGGGAGTCGGGTGCTGACCCGGGTGCCAGGGGGTCAGCGGCCGGCCTTGGGGTTCTAAGAAGTTGGAGGTGATGGGGCAGGCTGCTCCCCGGGACGTGGGTGTGCGTGTGTCTGGGACTCCAGGCTGTGTGCATGGTGTACTCAGGCAGCCAGGCTGCATGGATAGGGGTGTTGAACAGGGACCCCCGGGAAATACGGTTTGTAAACATATGGGTGAAGGGGCTGCAGGCGGAAGCTCAGGCCCGGGCTGTGTGTGGGGTGGTGAAGGCGGGCTGAGATGATTGTCCTGCGGTTGAGAGGGTAGGATGTCCAAGCTGTGGACCTAGGGAGTCAGGTTTAGGAAAACAGGGGAAATAGAGGCAGGGAGTCAGGAGGGACAGTCCTGTAGGGAGAGGTGGGGATGGGGTTGAAGAATGTAGGGAAATGGGGTTGGCTGGGTGAGGGGCTTGGTGCCCAGGGGAGGGGAGAGGGGTCCGAGGTGGTCACTGAGTAGGAACCTGGTGCCTGGAGTTAGTCCATGACCCCACTGCCTGAACTGGTACTTGGACCCAATCAGATCTAAATTGCCTCCGAAAAGCCCATGTGAGAGCATAGGTCCGCGTGGCCTTATTTGTTTTGGAAGCAAGCACTGTTGATATCTGCTTGTCTGTTAGTACCTGCCAAAACCACAGGCACCCGTGGACTGGGGAGAGGGCAGAGGTTTTGTCTCGTCTCATCTCTGGCTTCCGGAGGCGGGTTGACACCTGTGGGCTGAGCAAAGGCACGAAGGAAGGCATGAAGGAGTGACCACGCCGTAAGGAAGGACATCCCCTGTTTTCAACCTCCTCACCTCAGAGGACCCAGAAATAGAGAGGGCTGTCACATGTCCTCTTCAAGAATGGTGTACATGTGTGCCTTTTATGGTTTTCTTGCCTCGAAATGAGGACTTGGTTCTGCGTACTCTCAGCCGAGGTGCCCCGTGCTTTGGGGGGGTTTTTTCCTGGGCGAATGCAGGTGTCAGGACCAGGTCAGGGACGTGGAGGAGGCACAGGCCTGCCTGGGCTCAGCATGCTGAAATGGAAGGATGACTTCTTTGCAGTGAAGTTAGCATTTGAGGACAGGGTGCTCCGTCCCGTGGGTGCCCCTGGCAGCTTGACCTCGTCCTTCCCGTGAGGCTCACTAGCTTGTCCTCTTGCTTCTCCTCATCTCACCTGCAGCATTTTTCTCGTTTCTTCTTGGAGTTGGGTTTACTGTGTCGCTTCCCAGCTGTGAGGGCATATAATACCTTCAGGGTATTATATGACCACGTTAGGATTAAAGGGGTTCATTTGTGAGGCCCCTGGGTTTTTCCATGAGAGCCACTTGTCTCCTGCTTTATTTGCTCATTTATTCAACCGGTATATGCGTGCCCACCACTGGCCAAGCCCCTACTCTCACGCGCTCACCCTCCTTTGAGGAGACAGACAATAAATGTGGAAGTTAATAAATAGGATGGCTTCGGAGAGTAAGCGATTTAAAGAAAACAAGAGTTGATGCAACTGAGAATGATGGGTAGGGGAAGAAGGGCAGCTGGCAGCACAGTGGTCTCTGGAATGAGGGGAAATGGGCTTCCGGTGGCATGGGCCCCCAGCTTACCTTCACGGGCCTCTGGACTCGTCTCCCTTCCCAGGGCCTTGTCCCTGTGGCCTAAGCCACGGTCATTAATGGGTGTTGGGGCGGGGAAGTGAGTGGTGAGGGGCACTGTGGCCCGTGGGTCTGAGTGCAAGGTTGGTTTTGGGAAACTCATGAGAGGTAGATTCCTGCCCCAGAACCCACATGGTGAGCAGCAGCCATTGATGGCAAAAGGTCGCCAGACCTGAAAAGGTCAAAGAGATTGCTCAGGAAGATTAAAAAAAGAAAAGCAAAGAAAAAGATGAAATAAAAACGGAATTATTGTGGCACTCCTTTGGGGTTCAGAGAAATGTTGGAAGGAAGTTCCTTCCCTTCCTTTGGCTGATAGGGGCTCCCCTGAACCAGTGGTGGGACTTCCTCCTGATTTTGGGGGCATCAGCTCCCCCTCAGATGCATTGGATGTCAAGTTCTGGGTAGATTTGAGAAAATCCTTAAGCTAAAGCATTTGTTGCTTAGAATAAGGAAAGTGAGTTAATGCCGTGATTGTAACATTAAGACAGCTCCTGTGGAGGTAGCTACTCTGAGCCCTCAGTTTCCGCATCTTAGAATGGGGATTAAAAGCCTAACTTGGGTCCAGCTGGTGTGGCTCAGTGGTTGAGCGTCGACCCATGAACCAGGAGGTCTCGCTTTGATTCCCAGTCAGGTCCCATGCCCAGGTGTCACGTTTCGGGCTCGATCCCCAGTAGGGGGCATTCAGGAGGCAGCCCGTCGATGATTCTCTCTCATCGTTGATGTTTCTATCTTTCTCTCCCTCCCTCTCCCTTCCTCTCTCTGAAATCGATACAAACATATATGTAAAAAGAGGGGGCTGGCCTCTTTTTAATGGTGGGCTGGCCCCAGGGTCTCCTTTGGAAACAAGGATGAGGTTTAACTGCGAGTCCGGGGTGAGAAGGTGGCACTGTTGTTTAGAATGACTTCTTTGGACACTCCCGGGGTATAGCAGTCTCCTGCCCTCAGACACCAGGACCTCCGTGACCCTCCATCCTGACCTTCCCCGGGCGGTCATCCCGCTTTCAGATCCCTGTCCTGTCATAGGACATGTTTTTGTGGCCGACCATACGTCCTGATTTTTGAATTCAAGACATTCACTAATTGACAGTAACACATGGATGGCTCTGAGTTAGGCATTGGAGCTCATGGTCACTGTCGTCAGGACAGAAGGGTTGTGACCTGTGGCTACGCACAGTGGGGCCAGGACTGCTCAACTTTTCCCTCAGCCTCCTCTTTGGAGGAATTTCAGGCTCTGAATGGGGAGGGAGGAGGACTTCTGACATTCCTCCCCTTGATCAGCCAACCTTTCCAGCACATCCTCCCTTCACCGTGGCTGGTAGGGCCTCCTGGATCGTCTCGCTCACCTTGTGATTGTCTTTCCACCTGTGCCCGGGCCGTTTGGCTCTGGAGGCCTCTCCGCAGGTCGGAAGCCTACCCGTCTGTCAGGGTCTGGTTCAGATCTGTCCCAGCTGTCCTTCCTTCACAGGAAAGGTTGCTTGCCTCCAAGAAGATAATCATACACTGTTAGAACCAGATGGGACCTGAGAGACCACATTGTATAGCAATTTTCTTTTTCTAAATATATTTTTTATTGATTTTAGAGAAGAAGGGATGGAGCGAGAGCGAGAATGACAACATCGATGTGAGAAAGGAACATCGATTGGCTGCCTCCTGGTGACCGAACCTGCAATTTTTTGGTGCATGGGATGATGCTCAACCAGCTGAGCCACACCGTCCAGGGCTGTGTAGCAGTTTTCAAACTGTGCTGTGGAGGAACCCCTCGGGAACAAGCTTTTGGGTCCTGGGGGCTGGTGGGCAGGTCTCACTCACGGGAGCAGTGGCACTTTTCTGGAAAGTTTCCCTGGAAGGGACAACTAATAACAACTTAAAAAACACAGTTGAAATCCACTGGTGTAGTTCAGCCTCCCCGTTTTACAGGCCCAGAGAGGGAGGTGTCGTCCTTAAAGCCACCGGCCGGCGAGTGGCAGAGGCAGACAGAGTGGGTCAGAGGTCTGGCCCGGTGTTCAGTTGTGTCAGCTTGAAGTGTGGTTCTGTGGTTTCCTAACCAAGAGAGTAACTTCACTGGAGAAACCCCGTTTGTACCGTGTTGCCACACACCCCAAATCCATTTTCTGAAACCCTTGGGGCCACATATGTTTCAGAATCCAGAAATTTTCAGCCCTGGCCGGTGTGGCTCAGTTGGTTGGGCATCATCCCATGCACCGAAAGATCTCCAGTTCGATTCCCGATGAGGAGACATGCTTGGGTTACGGCTTAATGCCCGGTTGGGGGCATGCAGGAGGTGGCTGATCGATGTTTCACTCTCACATTGATATTTCTCTCTCTTTCTGCCTTCCTCTCTCTCTAAAAATCAATTAAAAATTATTTTTAAAAAGAATGCAGAAATTTTCAGACTATGGTACATATGCTGGGCATTATGTGACACTCCCAGGGGGGTCAGGGGCAGTCCTTCCTAATAAAACCCATCAGTATTTCTGCATCAAAACATATGACCAGTCCTTGCAAAAGGGATGCATAGCCTATAAATGGCATCATGTTGATTCAGTTGAGGTTTTGCT